TGGGGAGATGAGTGGGAGCTGGGAAAAAGAGCAACAGATGTGGGGTGCAGCACCATGTAGGACAAAGCTTTCCCACTGCTACAGGAATTGGTGGCTATGGGGGGAACATGGGAAAAGAGGCTAGAGCCCCTTTGCCCTCTCTGTGGGGCTGTGCCAGGACTGGGGAGGGAAGAGGCTGCTGTGGGTGTTGAGCTTCCTGGATTGGCAGGTGGGTGTTGAGGACAGGGCTGGGTGTGGCCAAAGAAGAGGACCCAAAATATGTTAGAGCAATGGATACACGACCTCTTGGTTGTGCCTGGTGAGGGTGGGAGTGCAGGGAGCTGCCCGGTGCTGCTGCCTTGTTTCCTTTGGCTGCCTTCCTCAGCTGTGCCACAGACAGTCCCTGCTCAGACAAGGGCTGCCAACAGACTGCGTGAGTGTGATTTGGGGTTTCTTTGCCTCCATCCTCTCTGCCTCCTCGCTGGCACTGGGGATGCTGTGAGATAAATGGACTATAGATCACATCCCCTTGGGTATCCAGATCTTGGAGTGGGAGCTGTGATAGGAGGATGTGTGGATAGGAGTGATCAGAGGCTGAGCAGAAGGACGGGAGGAGAGGAAGGCACTTTGCCCATGAGGTGCTTTCAAACCCCTTGTCATGGAGGATGTCCCTGAGCTGCCTGAGATCTGGCTGGGCTGTGGCTGGGCATGTCCAGGATTTGTCCCTGTGCCTTACTGGAGAGGGCATCTGCATAATGGGTATGCAGAGCACCAGTTCTCATATGAATCATGGTGCTTGCAGCCAAGAGGAGCTGCTGCTCTGCTGGGGCATTTTTTTGGGTAGCTTCTCTGGCACCCTGGATGTGCCATGGTTCATGCTGCCAGAGATGTTCCTGTGATGGGATGTGTCCCTGTGTGTGGGTTTTGTAGCAGGGTGATGCACATAGCTGTTCCATTCCTGCAGCCTTACCTGCTCCATTTGGAGAACCCCTGTGCTCCACAGTCCCTTGGCACCTGTATCCTGACCCATTCCCTGTTTGCAAAATTTCGTACATGGTGTGGCCTGAAGAAATTACTATTCTGCCAGCATCTCCTTTGGGTACATCCAGGCTGTCTGGGAGCACTGTCATGGGCTGGGGGTGGGAATGGGGACAGCACTGCCGTAAGCCCTGCTCTGCAGCCCCCTCTGGCCCATGGCCCTACCTTCTCCTTTCGGGATCTGCTCAGCACAAGGGTCGTGCAGCTGCTCCTCCCTCTGGCACTGGGCAATATCTGGGCCTGAGCCTCTGCTGTCCCATGAACCACAGGTTTAACTTGGCAGCTTTGCTCCTCCCAGGTCTGTGTGTCCAGGCTGAGACTGCCCCGTTCCACCCCCCGGAAACAGGGACTCTCTGTCTGGCCCTGGGAGATGCCAGCTCTGATTTCATTCCCCTGATGGATGACTGTCTAGCCCCTGTGGCTGCTGCAAGGCACCTTCATTACACTTGGCTCTGTCACTGCTGACTGATGAGGGTCATTTGCAGAGCTGCTGCTGGTGGGACCCATCCTGACATCCTCCAGGGTGGCTGGGGGAACTCGCTCTCTCTTCCTCCTGCCAGCTTTCACTGCAGACCCCAGAGAGCTGTGGTTGGTGGCACTGTCTGAGGCTGGGCACTGCCAGGGGTGGGCAGAGCTGGGGGCTGAGGTATCCTGCTTGGAGCTGAGCCTTGCACAAGGATGATTGTCAGCCACAGATTTTAGGGGCAGCTGTGTTCAGCACTGCTGCCCAGATGGACCCAGTGCCATGGCCTGGCAGGGGGAGCCTGGGGAGTTGCCTCTGGCCTCTAAGGAAAAGGTGATGCTCTGGAAGGCGATAGAGGCTCTTTTACAGAAAAGAATGTATTCTGGGAGCTGTTGACCTCTTCCCTATGCTGCCAGGCTGTCTGAAAAGGCAGAGGCTCCTCTCGCCCTGCAGCCTTGAGCCACCCCAGCCCTGCTCCTAGGGCAGAGTGCTGGGACAGATCGGCCTTGGGGTACCAGCTCCTCCTGACCTGCTGACTGACCCAGTGTTGTCCCATGGAGCCAAGCAAGGGCTGTGAGGCTACATGACTGGTGGGCTGCTGGTGCTCTGCTTCCCTCCTGGAATGGTGCCATGCCTGGGAGCTGAGCTGGGAACACTGTAGGGGGTTTTGCTGTTGTGGGATGCACATTTTCCACCCATCATGATGATGCATTTATTAAGAGGAGAGTGATGGGGGTTGTTTGGCACTGCCTGTTGGTTTGTTATTGTAGGGTCTTTTCTAGCAGGAGGGTGCTGTGGAAGGGGTCTGCTATTAGTCTTCTCAGCCAGCTGCCCCTGAGAGGACACTGGTGGCTGTGGCTCTGGGGAGGACAGGGAGGTGGGAATGGGAAATCCCTTCCCCTTCTTGTGCTGCCCAAGGATGGAGGCTCAGTCTATGTGTGTGTGTGTGTATTTTGAAGTTGCCAGGCTGTGGAGTGATGCATGGGAAGCGACAAGCCGCTTAACCCGGCAGCCCTCCCGCCGCAGATAAAACACTGCCAGCCCTTTCTGTTGGCTTGTTCTGTGCCAGCCTCTGGATGGCCCTTGCAGAAGGCTGGAGAGCAGGGAGGTATTTGGAAAGGGAGCTGTTCCTGGCATGGACAGAGCTTGGTGCTGCAGACGTCCCTTGTGCGCAGTGGCAGCACGTGGTTGTGCTCCGCTCCTGGTCTTTGGGCAGAGCTGTTTCCCAGCAAGGGGGAGCCCCCAGATTTGCTTGTGGTTTGGATGCTGGGGACAGAAAGGGGATGGTGTGTCCTACCCAGCAGAGCCTTTGGGTACACCAAAGCCAGGACAGCAAAGCCCCAGCCCTGGTCACTCCTCTCCTATTGTTAAGCTGCATGTGCTGAACATGCTCCCTCCCCTGCCCTGGGGATCCTGAAATTGGGCCCCCTTTGGTTTCCTCCTTAAGCAAACTCCCATGTTCTTTATTTTTTTTTCTTTTTCCTTCTTTATAACAAACTAAAGTGTAACTTGCACCTGACCTGACCTACTGCACGTGCCTATACCTGCTGCCCTTGTGAGTCCAACCACAGTTTACTCTCTGTTGCATCTCTCTCGCTGTGTGGTTTCCCTCCTGCCCTGCTCCCTCCCTGGTCCTTCACCCTGGCATTGGGTGTTGCTCTGCCCATCCTGTCCCTTCTCCTTCTCCTGGGCAAAGAGGACACTCTTCCCTACCAGGTCTGTTCCCACAGCTCCGCTCTGTTGGAGGGACCTGGCTGCAAAGCATCCTCGGAAAGCTGAAAGGTGCAATTTCCCTTTCCCTCTGCAAAATAAGGCCCTGGAAACATATTTGGGACAAAATCATTGTTTATGCACAGCTGATGCCCACTTCTAGGAAGGAAGAATCCTCTTTCCTCTCCTGCCTGCAAACCCCAGAGCAGACAGGAGCCAGGTTGTCCTTTTATGCCAGTGCCACGATCCTGGTCCTCACTCTTGCCTGTTACCCCCTGGCAAATGCCAGGGGGTGCATTTGTTCATTCCTATGTGTTTGCACATCCCTGGCATCCTGCTGTGGATGACACTTCCTTTGGGAGAGTTTTCCTCTCTGAGTGGCTTTGTGTGATGTCCTACTAGGACAATGACCTCCTGGAGCTGTTCTCCATCCCCCAGAATGATGGATCTGCCTACCCCAGCCCTGCTGCATTGATGTGATCTCAAATGGTCCCAGGTCCTGCCTGTGGGCACTCAGAAGCCTTACCTGCCTGGCTGCAGCTACTGGATGCAGACTCATGTCCCTGTCATGGAGCTGGGTACCATGCAACGCCATTTCTCTGGCATCTGGGGCTCATCTTAGCCCCCCAAGGCTGAGAAAGCTGCTAGAGAAGCCCCATTTGCTGGCGCCCTAGAGGAACAACTCCAAACCCAGGGTTTGGGATGCAGAGGCATTGTGACCTGCTCTTTGCAGATGTCCAGGATGCTTGGACCAAACGCAGTGTCACCAGAGACCCAAAGGGACTTTGCACCTTTCATATCATTTGTGCCCCATGCTGCTGTCTGCCTCCCTTTGGGGGCTGGAGCCTGGCATGGCCTTCATCCCCTCCTCTTCCTCCCTTCCCCACCTGCAGCATTAGTCCTGTGCTGAGTTTGCTGGCTTGAGGCACTGTGGGAAGGGAGGGAGCGGGTCTGCAGCCATGGGGCAATACCAGGTGGGAGAGATGGGGCTTAGAAAAGTCATTGGGGTCCAAATGGGGGAATAGGGTGTGGCACGTGGGTCAGTGCAGTGAGGGGACCTACTGTTTATGCAGGGCCACTTGGATGTGATGGTCATGGGCCAGGCTGGTGTGGGGAGCACCTCATCCTACCCCTAGCCTGGCCAAGGCAAAGCCCTGAGTCCTATATCCCTCCTGGCTGTCTCAAAGCAGGTCCCTGGCCTCGGGTGCCAGTGCTGTGCTGGGGTGGGTGTGCATGCTGCAGTCTGGGCTGCATGGCAGGGTTCGGTGCATGCTTTGCCTTCAGCTCTCAGGTGCCAACAGGATCAAACCCAGCCTGAGCTTGAGGAGGATGCAATGCCCTGGCTCAGCCAAAGGCTGTTTCCTGGGCTTCATCCTACCCCATCTCCCTGCACTGCCCCATGGGGACGGTCCCCAGGGAGCAGATATTTGTCCTCAAGGTTAAAGGGCAGAGTCCAGCTCTGCCATCTCATGGGTTTCTGGGTGCCTGAGTGTCTCCAGTGCTCCCTGACACGCTCCGATGTGGGGGTGCAGAAGTGCTGAGTGTGGGTATCTCAGCAGGGTTGCCCCTTTGCCACCCCCATCCTTCCCAAGGAGGGAAATTCGCGTGCCGGGTTTGTCCTGGGATGAAGCAGGAAGGCTGAGCAGAGCCTCGGCTGGGTTTTGCCTTCCTGCTCCTCCAGCCTCACGCTGCATGTGCTGCCTCCGGCCCCACTCACCCCGCGCCGGGTGCCCAACCCTGCTGCCCGCCGGGACCGGGGCTGATGCTCTGTTAACTCTTCTTCTGCTTGGTGACTCCTTCTTTCTTCCAGGCAATCCGCCAGTCCAAACTAAAAAAGCGCTGAAGCAGCGATTCCTCAAACTGCTGCCCTGCTGCCGGCCCAAATCCATCCCCTCGCTCAGCGAAAGCAAGTGCTTCTTCTTGCCTTTGTGTGTGTGTGTCCCCGGCGGCGCTGTTGCCTGCTCTCCGCCCTGGCCCTGCCTGCGGGAAGGGGACGCCTTCGCCTCTCCCCTGCTCTGGGTTTGGGGCTGTCAGGATCAATCCTGCCTTGGAGGGGCCCGATCCCGTGGGCTCTGCACCAGCCTCTGTCCTCACCTGCTGACAGGCTGGTTTTCTTCCTCTCCAGCTCCCCGGAGCAGCTCCGGGTGAACAGGATGAACAGCGGCAAGACCCGCTTGGGAGCAGGCTCAGGGTAGCCGGACCCTCCCGGCGCTAGTTTGAGGGGTGGGGGGTTGTTGCTCAAACTTCAAGGTCGGTTTGGAGGTGGGGGTGTGACGGGGGGATGAAAAAGGCTGAGCAGGGAGTGAGGGCAGAACCACCTTAACCACCTGCACTGGGTGTGCTTGGCCCCTCGGTGAGTCCAAGCCCCTCGTCAGGGTCTCTCTCTGCCCACCGGTGCAAGCCAATCGCCCCAGGGAAAAGGTGAGTATGGAGGGGCAGGGGCTGAACCGTCCCACAGAGATGGGGTACCTGCTATGGGACCACAGCCCCTCTTGGCTGAAGAGGGGTCTGGAGGTGCTGGTGCTGCAGGCAGGGGTTGTGCAGCTTGGCAGATGGTGGGGAGAAGCCATTGATGAAGGTGGGGGCGCAGCGGGCAGGACAGACTCTAGAAAGGCTGGGGGGGCATCTGGGGCTGGGAGCTCTGGAGGGGCAACTCTCCTGCTGGACACAAACCCTGGAGCAGGACAGGGTAGACGTGTGTGCTGGTGGGAGGAGAAAGGCAGGCAGGCGAGGGTTTCAGCACAGGAGGGGTTTCACACCCCCTTTCTGCTCACCCTGGTCTGTACTGGAGGCTGGAGGAGCTTTTGCCCAGTGTCAGTCCCTGGTCTGCCCTTAGGGTGTCTCTGAGTGTCCCCTGCTGGCATAGACATAACTCTGGCTGAGCAGAGCACCCCAAAAATGTGTCACCCTGGGCAGATGTGAGAGCACAGAGTGTGCTGTGCAAGATGCCTCTCCTACCCCCTGACATGACAGGGTAGGGCAGGACAGCGCTGGCCTCAGCCGCCCTCTCTTCCCCTGGGTTCCTTGCAGACAGTGTTGAGGATGAGTTTGAGCTCTCCACCGTTTGCCACCGCCCCGAGGGGCTGGATCAGCTTCAGGAGCAGACCAAGTTCACCCGAAAAGAGCTGCAGGTCCTGTACCGAGGCTTCAAGAACGTGAGTACCCCTCGACCAGCTTTGATAGCCCCACCTCTGCTGCCATGTCCTCCTCGGGGTTGTTTTGCACCTGGCAGTGCCCAGTGTTTGTGAAGGCTTTTGGGACCTTGGGGTTGATGTTTATATAAGGCTACAGCCTGATCCTACCTCCAGGGAGCTCAGTGGGGAGACCTGATCCTGTGTTCCATTTCCTTGGGTGCAGAGAGCCCCCTTCCTGGGTGCCTGGGATGCAGAGCCCCTCCAGAGAGGGGTGCAGCCCACAAAATCAGGGAGATGCTCAAAGCAGCCTTACCAGCCACCCTACCAGGTGTGCAGGGCAGGGTGCAAGGCAAAGCAAGGGAATCACAGGGATTTAGGGGGATGCTCACCCCCTTCCTGCAATGTGGAAGTGACACTGTGGCTTGGCCCTGGCAGGAGTGCCCGAGTGGCATTGTCAATGAAGAAAACTTCAAGCAGATCTATTCACAGTTCTTCCCTCAGGGAGGTGAGTGCCCATCCCTGTCCCCATGCCCTGCACGGTTGCCTCTGTGAGGCCGGGGGGTCACACAGCAGCCCCTCATACTGCCCTTCTCCCTGCAGACTCCAGCACGTACGCCAGCTTCCTCTTCAATGCCTTTGACACCGACCATGATGGCTCTGTCAGCTTTGAGGTGAGCTGTGGCCAAGGAGGGGGCGATGGGATGGCAGTGGGGCAGGAAGAGCACGTCTCTTCAGGTACTGGGGGCTGGGATCAGCAGCATTGCTGTTGCAGATGGATGAAGAGCTTTGCAGGACCTGGTGGAGTTTATTAAATTCCCAGAGGCAGTAGAAAAGCAATGAAAAGCAACAAAAAAAGGGCTTTCTGTATTTTCTGGTTAGTGCCTTGTATGATATCTAGACTGGCAGAAACAACAGTGGCTGGGTCTTGGTCAGCCTTTGGCTGAACAGTAGGTTCTGGTGCACATTGTCCTCTTGGGTGCTGTGACTCAAGGGACTAGTGTGGGACATATATGGGGCCAAGCAATTGTTTCTCCTCAGGCTCTTTTTGATACCAACATTTCCCTTGTCAGCCCAGCCTGAGGTCACATCTGCTTTAGGGTTGAGTTCACCTCTGCTGGAGGGAAAAGCAAGGCAGTACCCTCTGTCCTGTGAGGCCCTTTGTGGCTGTAACTCCCATTTGCTTGCCTTATCCATCCTTGCAGGACTTTGTGTCTGGGCTGTCCACCATCCTGCGGGGCACCATTGACGATCGCCTGAACTGGGCCTTCAACCTCTATGACCTGAACAAAGATGGCTGCATCACCAAAGAGGTGGGATGGGGGTCCAGACAGGTCTGCACCTGTCAGGAACAAGGACAGGACTCAGGAGTGTTGGCTGAGCTCTGGAGGAGAGCTCAGGGGCTCAATATTTAACTGAGCTCAGCTTTGCAAATGCCCCTCCTGGCTCCTTGGCACTGGTGTGTCTCTGGGATGGAGGGTAGATGAGGGGTCTGCTGCTTTGGGGCTCTATCACACATGCAGGCACACACATGGCCCACACTGTGGACACAAACAGCAGAAAAACATCTGAACACCCCACAGGTCTTTTGGAAGCATCACGAAAAAGGTGTGGGTTGGGGACTGGGTGGAGACAGAGCCCTGTGTTGACCCTGCAACCCTGTTTCCCTTTCCATCAGGAAATGCTGGACATCATGAAGTCCATCTATGACATGATGGGCAAATATACCTACCCGGCCATGCGGGAGGAAGCACCCCGGGAGCATGTGGAGAACTTCTTCCAGGTGAGCTGAGCATATCCTGGGGAAGCAGAGCTCCAGCACTGAGCCAGTGGCTGCAGTGGGTGCAGCAGAAAACACCTCACACTGAGGATGAAACAGAGCTGTGCTGGTCCTGCTGAGTGCCTGGGGATGGCTGGCACAGAGGTGTGTTGTGCCCACCCTGGGCAGGAGGTACTGGGCTCTCCCTGGGCTGGGGCTGTCCCTGCCATGACCCCTGTGATGTGCTTGTCTGCAGAAAATGGACCGGAACAAGGACGGCGTGGTGACAATTGAGGAGTTCCTGGAGTCCTGCCAGAAGGTAAAGCCAACAGCAGCTCTTATCTGGGCTGGGTCACCACCCTGACTGTTGGGGACCTTTGTCCCCCACACTTCCCTCCTGGCAGAGAGGGGATGATGCCAGAGCTCCCAGGAGCAAGGCTGGAGCATCTGCTTTGGGAACTGTACCCGTGCTGTCATCCCTGTACAGATGACAAGAGCCATGCATCCCAGCAGGGCTTGGAAACTGCCTGTAATCCCTGGGGCTCTTGACGCATGTGCCAGAGCTGCCATAAGGCTAGAGCCAAGTTTGGGGGAGCTGCCCAGATTCCTGTTCTGTGCCCAACTTGCCCACTTCCCACCTGTTCCCGACAGGACGAGAACATCATGCGGTCCATGCAGCTCTTCGACAGTGTGATTTAGCTCCCGGACCTGCCTCCAGCCGAGCGCTCCTGACACTGGGCCCAGAACCTGCTTCTCTCTCTTGACTTTTCCTTTGAGCCTCCCCTCCACTGGCTGCACAGACACCCCACAGGAAGGGGCCTCCCTTTCCGGAGATGCAGTCAGCGCTGAGATCTTCCCTTTCCCCTGGGCTGGCTCTGCTTTCCTCAGGGGATCCCAAGCAGGTGCTCCCAGACATCGGAGCGTGGGCATAGCTGGCACAGGATGAGCATTTCACCTGGATGGACCTCCCTGCACCCATTCCTGGTGCGGAAGCCGCAGCCTTGGGCTGCAATAGAGGGTTTTCCCCATGCACACCACCCTGTGCAGCCACAGCTCCCCTAACCCTGATCCTCTCCAGCCCCAGGAGCCCCCAGTCCCGGCTCCAACCCAAATCCTCCAGTGATGCTGTCTAGAAACCAATAAAGTCTTGCAAAGGGCCCCAGTGCCTTGGCTTCCTCCCCTGCCCTGGCTGTGCCCTGCCATGGGGAGTGTGCCTGGCATGTTTGGCTGTGAGCTGCTGGCCACCCTCCCTGTCCAGACACTGGGCCAGTGGGTGAGCAGAGGGACCGTGCCTGGAGAGGGCAGCCACATGGGCACTTGGGGCTCATTGCTGCATGAACTATGGGGAGCATCCCCTGACCCCAAGGGTCCTGGTTAGACCTAGGAGGCTCATCCTGACAAGGGGAGAGAGGAGACTAAAGGAACCCCGAGGTGACTTCTTGTGGCACAGGTCCCCCAGAATGAAGGATGCAGGGCTGGGAGGGCTGCAGCCTCAAACCTGTCCCTTGAGTTTGGAATGCTGGTACACAGGGACCTCAGGGAACCACTTTGAGGCTACAATCAAGAGATACCCTTTCTAACCCTTCCTGAGGACATGGAAGCCAGGGTATGAGGACACATGGAAGAGGGAGATGTGCTGGGCTCTGGTGGCTGTCCTGGCCCTTAGGGCTCACAGCCATGCTCCTGGCATCATCTGCTGTTCCCAGGCCCTGCCCCATCCCAGCCCATCTGCTGCCCAGAGGCTGGGGAATGAACAATGGGGCAGAGAGGTGTCCTCAGGCGTAGCCCTGTGCTGGTGACATGATTGAGTTGGCAACTCCTGGGAGACACAGCTGAGGCTGGGGACAGCCAGAAGTCATTGCCATGCTGCTGGCAGGCTGGAGGGTCACCTAGGGGCAGGGGGGCTTATCCCCATCTCCCAGCATGGCCATGTGAGAGCCTGCTTGGGGACCCCGGTGCTCTCCATGTCCTTGTCACCACCAGGTCCCTGAAGCTGGGTGTGTGCAGGCAGGCCTGTCCTGCCCAAATACCACTTCAAGTCATAGCTGAGTGATGTCCATGAGCTTGTGATGCCCATGTGCTTATGATCCCATGCCAATGCCAGAAGCCCTCCACAGCCCCTGGCAGTCCCTGACTGTGGCTCCAGCATCTGTATCCTTAGCAGCCAAGGGTGATTTGGGCTGACCTGAGCTGTGGTGTCTGGGAGAAATTGGGAAGGGGTGCAAGGCCAGCACCCACGTCGGGCTGGGCCCCAGACCCAGGCTGAACCCCTGGTGTTGGAGACATTAGAATTCCCCCCTGGGGCTCTGAGCCAAAGCTATGGGGCCACTCCCCAGCGAGACCATCCCTGTCCCATCCCTTGTAGATATGATGTGTTTTTTAGTTCATTCAACACATTCTTCACCTCGCAGAAATGACGTGGGTTTTTTTAGGTTCATTCAACACACTGCTCATCTTGCAGACCTGTTCCCAGGTTTGTCGTGGGGCTGAGCTCCCACTTGCATTCTCTCAAAGGTGGGAGGGCAGGTATCCCAAACCTTACCCCTTGCATCCCTTTCCCCCTGTTCTCCCTCCTCCCAGTCTCTCTGTGGTGCCCACAATCCCCCCGCCACACGGAGCAGATGCCGCCTTCTCCCTCATGCTGTAGGTCGCATGGAGTGACCCCCTGCCCCAGGGCATGGTGACCCACAACCTGCTTGGCATCTCCAGTCTGTATATTTTGTATTATAACAATTATATGGGTTAAAAAAAAATAAAATAAAAAAAAAACCAAACAAAAATCCAATAAAATCTAACCACAATCGCTATGCACACCACCGTTATGTTTTCGCATCTGTCAGCTGTCTGGGGTGGGGGTGGAGGGGAAATGTAGGACGGAGGGTTTCTGCAGAGGGTGGCAGCCCTTTTGGGGTGCTATGGCTGCATGGGTGCTCTGGGAGGTTGCACAGTGGACAAGGTGTATGCTGAGCCTGGCCATGCCATTGATGGGCCTGTAAATACAGACTTGCCCCTGCTAAGAGGCTGTAGGCATTTAGGCTAAAAAGCTCTTACATCAGGTGTGTTAGATCTCAGGAGTGGGGCTGTCAGGTGTGTGAGATGCTGTTGGGTGGACCTGATCTTGGGACCAGGTGGCCCTTGTTTGGACATAGCATTTAAGGCTGAGCTAACAGGAAGACGGTCACCTACCACCTTGGAGAGGTAGGTATGGACTGGGGAGGGCTTTTCCTTAGGGATGTGAACTGATGGGCAATCACTGGTCATTGGAAAAGTGCAGCCTTGAGAACTGGGAAAAAATGAAGCTAAACAGAGGAGAAAAAAACATGGAAGAAAGAAACCAGCAGAACAAGGTTATGGACCTGATATGGGACAGCGAAATCCTCTAGCGCTATACAGTCTGTGGTCCGGGAACTGGAAACTCAACGCAAAAAGCTGCCTGGAGACTGAAACATTTTAAAAGGATGGGCTCTGCTATGGGTGGAATTACCACTGTGGCACTGGGAAAGTGGCAAGTCTGGTCTTTCTAAAGCCTCTCACTCTCCAGAGACCTTTCTGAGCCGCTGGCCATCACCCAGGTCTGCGTATGGCAGTATGAATGGGCCTGGGCACGCCTTCCCCTCTAACCCACTTTTCCAAGTATATCCTATCCCCTGAGCTCTGTTTGGCTGGTTGCTATTTTGGGCAATGATATCCAAGGGCTGGATGTGCCCTCTCGTGGCACAGGGATGTTGTGAGCCACTGATGGGATCCCTTGGGTCCCTCTCCCCAGAGTAAAAGGCAGAAAAGGGGCTGAAGTGACCAGGGCTGAGCCCTGGCTTAGATGTCCCTTGTCAGGAGCAGGTGGCATTTAAGGGTAATAGCAAAGTCAGTGGGTTTATGATAAAAACAGAGATAAGAGCTGATGAGTCCTTGGAAAAGGGCACCCTTGTGTTGTTTCCAGGCATCATTTTCCCAACTTTCAGAGGAAAAAATTAATAGCAGCTATGTGGGAAAACAGCTGAGCAACTGGATGGGCAGCTGATGCAGCCTGGGACAGTGATTCACTCCAGCATCCTGAATACTGTCTAGAAATACAAGCATTTTGTAAAAGGATGAGATCCTAACACTGGGAGAACTGTTACTGCAAGATTAGTTTGGCATGACCAAAGCTATGAGCATGATGCCAGCTTCAGGGTCCAGTCACTGCCCAGCTCTCTATATGGTGGTATGAGAGTCCCATTTATTTTCCACCCAAATTCTGTGCATTTCTCCTCTCTAACCCCTCTGCAAAGTCTTGTGCATCAATACAATTCAGCTAGTTACTATTTAGGGCAGCAATACAATTTCTATTTTTGCTCTTTGAAAGCTTTAGCTTGAATCTGGTGGTAACCAGAGATGCTCCTTGACAAGGGGCTCTGCTGCAGCTTCCTGAGCAGGTACAGACGGGGCTGTACATGCAGCCGTCTTGGGTTTCTTGTCACGCCAGAATGTCATCAGCGGGGAAGAGCTCAAACGTGGCTGAAATGTGATGTGTCTGCCGCGATGCGTGCAGGCTTTCGCCAGCCAGGTCTTTCGGTAGCTCTTTGCTCACTCGTTCCTTGTTGGCTGGTGCCCGCTGCAGCTTCCCCACTGCTGGCATGGGCTGTAAGGATGACCCCCGCTGGCTTCTTTCCACAGCCACGTGGGAGGTTCACCTCCTCGGCCCTGGGGTCTCCCGGGGGAGACACCCTCTGACCTCACACCCCTTCCTCTGACTGACTGCGATCCGCCTCAGCTTCGCAACCCCTTCTTCCAGCACCCTCGCAAGCCTCTTCCAGGCGCAGAAACACCTCCGACCGTGCTGTGTGTACGGGGGAGGAGGGAGGGGGCGGCCGTGGAGGCTCTCCTTCCCCCCACCCCGCAGCAGCAGCAGCTCGGTCTCCCATCCGCGCCGCGGCCCCGGCGGACCCTGCTGAGCTTCCGCAAGTAGGTCACGCCTCAGGGGTAAACCCGAGCGTACCCCCCCCGCCTCGCCGCCCTCACCCTCGGCCCTGCGCGAGCGCGGGCACGCCCACACGCCGCCGGACGGCGGCGTGTGGGCGTGCCCGCGCGCGCGCAGGGCCGAGCAGCCGCGCCGCCCGCCCCGTCCCCCGGAGGAACCTCCCGCGCCCCCGTCCTGCTGTTTCCCGCTCCGCCGCCGCCGTCCCAGCCGCCCTCCTCCACCCCCCCCTTTTCTCTCCCTCCCTTCCCGCCCAGCCGGGCGCTCTCCCGGCCCTCGCAGCGGACTCCCCTCCCCGGTCGGAGCGCGGCGGCTTTGCGGGCGAGGCGGCGCGGACCGGTTGGGGCCGGTTCGCCGCGCAGGCGCAGCGGCCCGTAAACAGGAAGCGGCGGCGGCGGCCCCGGAGCGGCGCAGACAAAGGGGCTGCGGAGCGGCACGGAGCGGACCCGGTCGGCTCGGCCCGGCCCGGCGAGCGGCGGCGCTGGCGGCGGGCGGCAGGATGGTGCAGAAGGAGGGGCAGGCGGCGCTGGAGGAGCCGCAGGGCAGCCCCAGCCCGGCCGGGGTGCCCGGAGCCCCTCTGGAGCCGCCGGGCGCCGGCCCCGCGGGGCCCGTGCCGGGCGGGGAGGAGACCGACACCGAGACGGAGACGGCGCTGGGATCCCGCCGCTTCCTCTGCGGCGTTGTCGAAGGTGGGAGCTCCGGGAGAGGGGGGTGTCCCCTGGGGGACGGGGGCTGTGGGGGGACGGGGAAGGGGGGGCGGCTCGGTGTCCGCGGGAGGCCGGGGGTGGGCCGGTCCCAGCTGGCGCTGCTGTGCCCGTCTCCTCCCCCGCCCGGAGGAGCCCGCTCGGCGGGGAGGTGCCGCGCGGTTCTTGGCCGGGACTCCGCCGGGAGGGGGGGGGGAGGAGGAGCCGCGGCTCCCGGGCGGGGCTGCTGCCCGCGGGGCTTGTGCCGGAGCGGGGAGCGCCCTTCGACGGCAGCTGCGCGGCGCGGGGAGCGCAGGCCTGGCTCCCCAGCGCGCCCGTGATTCCTCGGAGAGGACGAGGCACTGCCGTGTCTCGCCTGCTGGTCTGAAGGAGGTAGGATTGAGAGAGAGAGAGCACACGCGCGATTATCGCGGCTGTACGTGCTCTTTCTGCGCGTCAGAGGCTCAGAGTCAGTTTCCCGAGTAGGGAATATGTGATTCCACAGGCATCTGCTCTGTAATTAATATTAAATGCCCCTTGTTCTCCAAAGTGTTCTAGCTTGTCATTTTAATTCGGCTGTGGGACAGTCCTCTGACTTTTGACATAGTTGGCATCAGTAAAAGGTTTAAATTGTTGCTGAAGCTGCAGAATAAAGTGATTCTTTTTGCGTTTCTCACTAATGATGGAATTTGTCTGCATTTCTGGCAGGTTGGTTGAGGTAGGTGGTTGAAAGCCAGCAAGAAAAATGGTTTATTCCTAGCATAATAGTTGGTTTGAAATTGTACTCATTCCTATGATCTCTTATTATTTCTGTACCTATAATGGCTTTCCAGTAGAAGAACAAAATGATTAAGGGATGGAATGGAGAGGGAAACAGGCAGTTTAT